AAAACAAAGACTTCAAATCGCTGAGAATCCTCCAGCAAGCGACCCCTGCCCCATGTTAAGGAGGAAGGCGAAAAACCTCCAGGGCCTCTTGAGGTCCCTTCCAACCCTGATATTCTATGATTCTCTGATTCTACTGTCCTTTACTGTGAATGCAAAGATCCAAACCCTGCTGATGATTCCGGTGGGTGATCAGTATGGCTCCACATGATAGAATTTGTTTTTTCAGTTTGTTTGTTTAATAGGAAGTTACATTAAAACCCACATGAAAAGAATATTAAGTCAAGCAGTCAAGCAAAGTTAAGCAGTCAAAAATTAGGAAATGCCTAAATTAAAGTTGCCTGCACAACCTTAATTTGGCCCCCTTATGTGTGTGTGATTTGAGAGAGAAATAACATATATGAAAATACAGACTTTATATAAACTTTAATTATTTTTCGTTTAAATGGGATTTATCATAAGAAGCTTTAAAGTCTTTCCCCTAGAAGACTGAAATTTCCAAGAGATAAGCTGCATGACCTGTCACTCATTTTAAAAATAGGAAGGTTGCCAAATGATCATGTTTACCAGAAAAGTCAGAGACATCTGTCAGAAGATGTTCACATGTAATTTTAATGTTGCTGATGGATGTTGAGAGGCTGGCATTTTTGCTAGGGTCTTTGCAACCAGCTATTTTTACTGAATTTTGAGCCCTCACTTTTGGTAAGTTGGTGCAAGATATCAGCAAAGGCTTTCTCCCCCAAAGGGGACAGAGAAGAGAGAGAGAGGTTAACTTCCTCAAAAGGGGTCTTGCGCCTCTTTCATTTTGGATATTTTGGGGGGTGACAAACTCACCCCCACAGTGCTTGTAGTATGCAACAATAAATATTTTTAAAACTGCTGGCTTAAGCAGCTCTTTTTCAAACTGATGCTGGCCTAAAAATTACCTAACCTCTGATCAAGGTATACTTCATGCCTGATTTGCCCAAAGACTCAGGGGGAGGTGCTGTAAGGTGGAGTGAGTGAGAATCGCAAACTATAAAAAAGAAGGTTAAAGCCATGGGCCTTTGTCCATCAGCTCAACAGGCCAGCCGAGGGAAGTCTGACACTCCTGGTATACAAAGCAGGCCACCTTTGGGGAAAGGAAGTGAAGACAACAAAATCAGATTACACCAGCTTTTGCCCAGGCTCCCAGCACCAAGCACTGTATCGGCTACATCATCATCTGGTTCCCTGACTGCAGCTCCAGCTCCTATTCCATGTGAGTCCAGAGACCATGAGAGCTAAAGAGTTCAAATCCTGTTATCTTATGTATTTTATTTTTCCTTTTTCTGTTTTTGTCTTATTTTATTAATCGGAGGATGTCCCGGCCTTTTAGCAGCATTTTAGAAGATGAAAGCATGGATGTGTGTGTGCCTATGAGTGCCTAGAATGTTCACACAGAAAAGGAACTGGAAAGAAAGTTTAAACAACCCTGAACTCAGTCTCTTGAAAGCTATTGATTGAATGCATGTTCCATGTTCTGTGTAGAGAACTAAAACACTTTAAAACTGTCAGCTGTAAATTGGCAAATAAGAATTGTCAAATTTCGTCTTTTGCACTGCCTTGGATGAAGTTCTTTAGTTGGAACTTATAACCAGACAACCACCTCCTGAGATGCCTTTTTATGATTAAGATGCCTTTTATGATTTATAGGTTTATCTGTTGTATAAAATAAATCTGATGATTTGACTCCCATCCAATATTGCTGTTAACTTGCTGATTTGGTAATTGTATTTCTTAATTCAATTTAGCAGTGTTAATAGAAGTTTCCTTTTAGCGATATGCTTTCTTGATTTTATTTTTGTTTATTAATACTAATAAAATGTATATAACGGACACTGAATCTTCTCTCTTTCAATAGACAACATGGACCAGAACCATTGAAAATCTGGGTGTATGTCAGCCAGTCATCAGCTCCCTCCTAAATTAACCTTTGATTCTCACAATTATGACACTGCTTTTAATTACATGAGCACATACCATTTTTCCACAAGACCCCTGCCTCATTCAGTGCAGAGGATGGACCTGCTGTGGGGATCAATCAAGACTGTGTAGTGACAGAGGCTTTTGTCTATAGGACCTCTGCTTCATCTGTTGCAAAAGTTAGAAAGTGTATAGTGAATCAGGTAGGGGATTGCAGGCAGAGAAGAGCATTCTCACAGTTAAGGCAATTGACTGGAGAACTGGAGTCTCTCTGCCTCTGCCACAGAGATCCTGTGTGGCGCTGGGCAAGTCAGTTAAACCAAACTTTACACAGATGGGCACTCATTGTGTGTTTCTCATTTTCTGAGTGCCTGACCTGAGACCCTGGGTCTGATTTGCAGAAGTGCTGAGTACTCACAGCCGTAACTGAAGCTGTGCTTTGAATATATGAAGCGCTCTATAATGCTAAGCACTCTGAAATCAAGTCCTGGGTGTCTCAAAGTGGGCATCCAAAATTAGGGGATTTTTTTTTACCTTAATCTCTCTGTGCCTCAGCTCCCCACCTGTAAAATGGAGATAAGGGTGTTGTGAACATAAATTCATTAATATGTGTGAAGCACTCAGATACTACAGTGTTGAGTACCATAGAAAAGTCTATGAGGAAATTAGTAAGTCAGTCTTCAGTGCAGGGTTCGGATGATGTGGGGTAAATAAGACCTGGGGTCACATACGGAATGCGGAGGATAAAAAGAAATATCGAATAACTACCCATTAACTGAATGAGACTGGGGTCCTGTGGTAAAAAACAGGCTTTAATTGCATGATCACATACTATCATAAGGCATGTGCACAAGGGGGCTGAATTAAGGTTGCATGGGCAATTTAAGATTGCTTTTAAAAATTATGTACATTTTACATGCTACTTAAATATGGCCTTTCAGTTCCTGTTGAGTGGCCAATACAGTGTGCCAGAGCGCAGGTACCCCTGCCCTATAGCACTATTTCAGCTCCCGCCTCTTTACCACAGATACATAAGTTATAGGTGAGCAATACAGACAATACCTACTTGCGATTAACCTGCTGTATTGGATCTCACTACCCTCCTGATTGCATGCTTTGGAAAGCTTAAGAACAGCAAAGGACTTTTGCAACATCACAAGGAGGATTAAAGCCAGAGATCTGGTTACGGCTGTGCTGGCCCCAGTTCCCACATGAGCATTGCCTTGGGTCTTGAAGCAGTAAAGATAAGTAGAAAATAGCTATGCCAACCTCTGCTAGAGCGGTGGAGAAGTGATTGCAGTTCTTGTGCATAAGATGGTATGCATTGCCCTTGTACTCCTTGCCCAGCTCCTCAATAATCTTATCCACATCCTCTTCTGTGAAATCAGTGGTGCCCAAGGCAACGGACTCTCTAGTTTAAAAACAAAACAGGAAACATGGGAAGACACAGTGAAAAAGGCTGAACGAACACAGGCTAAAGAGAGAGAAAACAAGACACTGGCAAGTCATTTAGGCTTTAAATTTGGCAGGATTGGTTTACATGTACATAGTGCTAGTGAAAAGTTCCTAAATGACCAACACTGCAGGCTAATGTCCTTTATTTATCCACAAAAACAGGTACAGCCCAAGCAGCGGCACTGAGACCTTCCCTACACACTGCCCTGCAAAAGTGCCTTAACTCTGAGCTGCAGAGACCACTTCTCTACCCATTCAGTCCGGGGTCCATCAGCTGAGACTGCCAAGAAGTGTGCCAGTTATGGTGGTGGTTTCTGTGATGTGGACTTCTGACAGTAGGAACTGGATTTAAAATTCTCCGCCCCCACCAAGCTCATTTGACATAGGCCATGGATCTCTGAGGGTAAAATCCTCCAGTCAGTCAATTTCTTCTGAGCCAAATTTGAATCAGTGATCTAGGGAAGACAGGCTCCATCTTCCATTAACTGAGCCACAGTCCCAAAATCTGATCACCTTGAATATTTTATAACGGGGCATCTAAAATCCTCCCACTTCTGCTCTAGAAAGTAATGTATTCCCACTCTGTCAATAGGGAACAGACAAAAGAGAAAACTTCCAATAGTTCCTGGTTTTGTGGAAAGCATAAAAATGCAACGTGTGATGTTCTTGTGCTCCTTTTACTGGCTCTGCAGCAGCTACCAAGGTACTCATCTCAGAATTTTGCTGAATGACAAAACTGGAGCACAAAAAGAAAACAACCAAATTACAAAAAAGAACTGTGTTCACGTCAAACTGCACTTGAAAACAGAGGAGGAAAACACTCTGCGCACTCTCTCAGATATACTGCCCCACATCCTTGTGCACAACCTTCACCCACACCAAGAGTCCTGTTGGACTGCTTTTGAATCAGGAGCAGGTGGAAACATGGTGGGGGTGGGAGCAGGTGATGGGAAGATGAGACTCAAAATGGCAAGGCAGGACTGATTTGTTGACCCTAAATAGGCTCATTGATAACTGCAAGATGAAGGGTGTGTGGAGAAGGGCCCTTACTTGAACTTAAAGGTCTCGCCAAGCTCTACCGCACTGCCAGGTGTGATCTCGAAAATCCCACTGAAAGGATAAGGATGCCCTCCATAGGCAAATTCTGACAAGGAAAGAAAGAGACTGTGAGTAATCAAATGAAGGCTGTATCAGGGAAAGTCCACAGCAGCTGTCTGCATGGCTTAATGTTAGCCATGGTGTTAGGGCCGTTGCCAGAGTCAGTTTCAGTCAGGCACTAAAATCCATCCTCCTAGTCCAGTTACATATCAGCCCCAGGATACCCTCACAACCCCAATTCCCAATCATGCTCCAGCTCTGCTAATGCTATTAGTTGGCCATAGTCCTAGACAATCCCTGTGTGGGGCTCTCTGAACCTGCCTGAATGGATTTGGTCAGCAAGCCAAGGGGGCAGCAAAGCTTATTACTAAGGTGAAGAAATCCTAAAGTCATTTAGGAAGGTGATGGGACTGACGCCCAGTTAAGAAAACTCTTCCATTCTTCAGTAAAGCAGAGGGTTACCAAACACTGCCCAGCAGAAGGCCACACAGGCAGTTTACCAGGAGTCAAAAGTCTGCACCTGATTTTTAGAAATCTGAGCTAATTGCAGCTGCACTCATCTTTATGCAGGTCAGACATATGGAAACTACAGGACCCATCATGTCATGCTCCATCTCGAGTCAACTGTAAAAGCTGCTTGGTTCAAGGTGGACCATTGCATACTCGAACATGTAATCTGTCATGTGGCAATGGTAAAAGAAAAAAAAATCACAGAAAGACAGACACTCTCGTCTAACACTGAACAAGGAGCTTTATTCATATAAGGAAAAACAAAATTACCCCTAAAGCTATTCTGTCTCTCTCTCTCTGCTTCACTGCAGAGCTCCAGTCTAAAGCCTTCCTTCCACCCAGCCAAAGGTGCTGCCTCTTTCTTGTGTACTGAGTACTTTCACCAGTTTCAGTCATGTAGGATCTCAGGCTGCAGCTACGTCCATGACAACAGCTGGTGTTGTCCAACATTCTTCCTCATGTGGTTTTATCAGGATTGAGTCTCCTGGCTTAAGGCTGGATAAGCTTTGGGCTGCATTCTAACAGTTAGAGAAGAAAGCTTCTTAGATTTGGCACCTCTCAGCCACTGCAAAGGATTTCCGTGGTACATATTCTACATTAGGTTTAATTCTCAAACAATGCATGAGAAAACTCTAGCATGTAAGGGGCACCTTTCCTAGATCTTTGCTGTTTATTAAAGGTCTCAGTGGTTTGTGATCCGTCTCGAGCATGAAACTGCCAAGACCCTATATGTACCATTTGATCTTCTCACATGCCCATATGCTTGCCAAATGTTCTCTCTCTGCTTTGGTTTTAGGATCTGAAAGCCATCTGGAACAATATGCTAAAGGCTCCTATTAGAACCCCACAGTAGCAGCTGAAATCTGTGGAGTCTGTAAACTTGGAAACATCATAACATATCAGTACCTGGGATGTGGTCAATAGATTCTTTAGATCCTCAAATGCTTGTTCTTATGCTTGGTTCCAGATTCACTTAGAGATGGTTGTTTTAAGGAGTTCATAAAGAGCTTGGCCTTTTGAGGGTGGGTAAGATCTGAATTTTCTCCAGTTTGTTTTCCAAAATTTTATCAGACCAAGAAACCACATCACTTTTGGTATATTTTAGGTGGTAACATTTCAATTATAGCTTTAGCTTTTTCTGGATGTGCCCTCCCCCCTCTTCTAGCAATTGGAACTGTTCCTAGGTTTGTTGTAACATTGCCATCAGAACTTGTTGCAATACTGTATTATGCTATGTTCTTTCTCTGATTTCCTAGGAGTTATAGCATCATCCAGAAAAGCTTCCACTCTCTCCAGGCCTTGCAGTATCCCACTCCTTTTCCATGGGAAGATTTCTGGGTGCTTGTGACCCTGACTGGGAGGCAGCAAAGAGCAATTCCTTCTGAATAGCTTTGCAGAAAAGTTGGAACTGTTGGGGTGGAGAAGAACTTGTCTGAAACCTAGTGAAGAAAGCATTGTTGCACCCATTAACTTGGGGATAGTATCTTCTGGGGTGAGACGAATATCCCTTTCCCTCCTTACTGTTTAACTGAGCCTCTTTAGAGCTATGCTAATAGTTTTCCCCCTTGCCTCATGACACTACTGGGGCACATCACTCCGGTGGTTCATTACTGCTCTTTATTGTGCCATTCCTCTCCATCCTATCCAGTTCTTCATTCATTTTCAGGAGCAATGGGATGGGCACTCTCCAGGTGGTACTGCACACAAAGGGTACATCCCCTCTTCTAGTAGGATCTGGAATGGTTCTGTTTTAAGCAGGCTCTGTCTGTTGAACATCATGCCAATGTCCAGTTTTATGAGGGCCATCTTAATGATTGTGGTTTGGTCTAATTTACTTGCGGTAGTCTCATTAACACCACATGCTCCTTGCCTCTGTAAGTAAGTTTGAATTGACTGAGGCAATGGATCTGTTCCCCTGGGCTATTGAACACTGTCCTGGGCTACTCCAAGTTAGGACTAAGGCTTATCTTCTTAAGTCTCTTTACAAGATAGTCACCTCTACCCCTGAAATCAATTTTAAATTTAACAAATGTTGCAAATCTTGAGATTAGATCCAAATCTATTCACAAACGCTGTCTTTGGACACAGATCCTAAGAAACATGAATTATTCCACTCTTGCTTGTACTCCTTCATTCCTTTGCTTTGATAGCTGCTCTGCTAATATCCCTGTGTCTTGCTCTACCTCTATGTACCTCCACCAATGGCTCCTAGGCACTACAATAATAATAATAATAATAATAATAATCTGTCCTGTGCTCTCCCCGGCCACAACTGCCACAGTTCTGTCCAGGAACTCAGCATTCTTAAGAGCCATTGTTATGAGGCTTCTTTCCCCCTCTCCTACCTTGAGAATTTTTTCATTGCTACTTCTTGCACATTGCTCTGACTGCTACCTTGCTGGGTGACTTGCATTTTCACTAGTTCAGATGGCCATATCTGTTGTACCACCTTGTTCCAGAGGACCTCAGACCTGATTCTTTTGAAAGCTCCTTGTTTAAAATCCCAACTACTAGATGTTCTCTTACGTGCTCTCCCTGACAGATACCAAAGTCACGATGCTCTGCTTGTTCATAAAAGACCTTTAGAAGTGCCATAAAAGCATAGCCGTTCATATAGTACTTTCCTTTTTGGTATTAAATACTCACCAACCCTTTAAAAGGCAACATAATAGTTATTCTTATTGATTCCTCAGTGAAGGTAAGTGATTTCTAAACATTTTTAGCTTCAATCCCCAATGCATAAATTAATGAGCTGACTTGTATTTTACCACAAACTATGTGGTAAGCTTCAATATCTAGTAAAGTGGTCCTTCCCCTTAGGCCATTCTGGGACTTATGAAACTGAAAGTCTTGGGCAGGGTTGAATTTTGACATTTTATTTTTCTCGCTGATGCAAAATTACTGAATTTCTGAGACCATGTCATTGGACAGTGAGAAAGCCACTTTTCTGGGATTCTTTCTTCTAACACTGAACTAGGAAATGTATTAAAATAAGGGAAACTGTATTATCCTTAAAGCTACTCTCTTTGTGTCTCTCGCCTTGCTTCACTTTGCCTATAATGTTCCCCAGCCCCTTCTTGCCTAACATCCTGCTACAGCTTTGAAGAAACAGTACTCTAGCTTTGCAGACAGCACATCTATATTGAAAAAGAGATTATTTGCATGAGCTGCATACCATACTTTGGACACCCCGGTCTAAAAATAATTGGCTGAATTTCTACTCCGCAGAGCCCCCTCGCCCCACAAGGCACAAACCAGGGCACCCCTTTCTTATAAAAGATCATAAGATCAGTAGGATTGTCCCCCCAGACTCAGATGTAACTAAAAAGAAAGCTTCATACCTCTGCCGTAGATCTCGATGCCGGAGTGGAAGACCCCAATCCCCAAGGTAGAGGTGTATTCATTTATCCAGTACTACAGTAAGAAGAAAGGTAGATTTAGAAGCATTAGTGGAGCATAAATTGAACATAGGACCTTGGTCTATTATATATCCTGGTGTCCTTTCCTCAAGGCTATTTCTCTGGAGTCTGGCAAGGACCAAACAAACAAACTCTTCACTGATAGAATACCAACCCCTTTGGATGTGGGAGCTGTGCTTGCCCAACTGATGGGGTGATGTCCAAACAAACTGTTCATCTGGACTTCACAGTGTGGGACTTTCCCCTGGGTTTAGATGTAAATATACCCTCTGTACTATGAACCCACCAAGAACCAGCTGCTGCAGTAGGGGATGTTGGGTGGAGGGAGGCATATTTATCTGTCTCTGCATTTTAACAACATTAGTTAACACAGAGTTAAGTCTGTTAACAACAATTTTTATACCACCCATCCATCTGAGGCTTTCAAAGCACTTTACAAACACCAATTTATTTAAGCTCACAACACCCATGTGAGTTAGGTAAATACTCTCCCCATTTCAGATTTTTTGTATTAAGGCATTGTGTGTGTGTTTACTTAGGTAGCAAGCTTTTTGGAGGAGGGAGCATCTCTTCTCACATGTTTATAAAGCACCATTCCCCACTATCTGTACTACATAGGTAATAATTTTGCAGAACAGATGTGGAAACAAAAACACAGTGAGGTTAAGGTCAACATTTTACATAGTGCCAGCTCATATGAAATGCATCCATTTTCAGAAGGGCTGAGCATTTGCATCTCCAAAACCAGCCCAATGGGGTCTCATATTGATTCACAAAATCAGTAGCCAACCTCAGAAAATTCAATGAAAATGAGATCATTGCTTCCAAGTCAGGACATCTGCATTCCGCCAAGGGCAGAGGAATTCTACAGTCCAGCACATATTTACTCTCTCTTCTCCTCCTCCAGATACTTCCTAGTGATTCAGAACATCATGGTCAGAGTTTCTTTAAGCCCTGCTAGGACGGTTAGCCTCAATCATTTGTCACTCTCCCTGAATAATCCTGTAATGAACTGGTTAGTATACGTGTACCACTACCCCCAACTGTGTCAAAGACCCTATAATGCTAACACCTACAGGAGATTCTCTCTCAGCTCACATAGTAGGGAGTCTGTGCTTTTGAAGCCACAATATTTAAGCTGTATCCCTTCTATCTCTGTGGGGTCTGCATGGCCATGATGTGCAGCAGAGTAGGCGCTTCACAGTTGGCAGGTAACCACAAATTTGTTCCACTTAATCCACATTCTGAGTTCTACTTGTTTACGGATTATTGATGATGATTGAATACTGACTGTATTAGCTCTGTGAGATATCTGGAGATGCATTTGACTACATATTTATATAAAGTGTTGCATTGTTATACTTGGTGCAGTCCCAAAGGTGACTAGGAGGAGGTTCAACCCAAATACCATAAACCCCTAATTCCAAAATGCCTGACTAGCAGTTTCTCAGACATTACAAGCCTGTTCCCCCTGTGAGGAAGCCCCTAGTGCTTCTTCTTCTTTGCAGATCTTTGCCTTAAAACATATGCTCCCATTTCAGGAGAGCAGCTGGCAAACTACATGAGCCTCTGTAGTCCCTCAGCCCATCTGTCACCTCTCCCATTACTAAATCTCCATTTGTCTCCTCATTAGGCAGGCTTTTTAACTGAACTTTGTGAAGTGCAGTGTTTATAGAAGTGATGGCCTAAGAGCATGGGTTTGGAGCTAGGTGAAGGTTGGGAACCTCTGCTTGTGCCCCTTGTTCTCAATTAAAAGCAAACCCTCCCTTTGAGCAACAGACCCCATTTCAGGGAAGGAAGGGAGGATCCCCCAGTCGTCGTCCCATTCCATAATTTCTACTCTTCTCTACCAATTTCTGTTTCTATCTGTGACACCAAGCAGCCCTGTATTCACACCCTACACACTATTTAATAATCTTTGTTCAAAATATGCCTTGTGAGGTATCATTTGAAAAATAACAACTTACTGATCATTAATATTCATGTGCAACATATGTACACAGTAGGTATTAAGAGTTACTTTAGTTACAATTCCAGCATATATTTGTATGTGTGAACCAGGGAGTTGTTAAACTGGTCTATCTTAAACAAAGGAATGTGTAAAAAGCAACAGAAGGTCCTGTGGCACCTTTAAGACTAACAGAAGTATTAGGAGCATAAGCTTTTGTGGGTAAGAACCTCACTTCTTCAGATGCAAGTAATGGAAATTTCCAGAGGCAGGTATAAATCAGTATGGAGATAATGAGGTTAGTTCAATCAGGGAGGGTGAGGTGCTCTGCTAGCAGTTGAGGTGTGAACACCAAGGGAGGAGTCTGGTCCTGAAATGGATGTGCAGGTGAATGAGCCATCACAGGACCTAACCAGATCAGCTACAACATCACCAGCTCATTCACCTGCACGTCCACCAATGTTATATATGCCATCATGTGCCAGCAATGCCCCTCTGCTATGTACATTGGCCAAACTGGAC